ATGGTATGCTAAACAAAGACACAGTAGTTTGTGGCGAAACTTATGAAATGGTTAACACATATTATAACATAGAAATTTGGAAGCTATATAAACTCGATTCAAGTACTTTCAAAGCTTATGAAATGGTTATGTGGTTTCAAAGCCACTGTGGTTTAGTTTATGGCTCTTGGTGAAGCTTATGAAATGGTTAAGACATATTTATAACTTAGAAGTTTATAACTTACAATTACTCGCTGGTCCCCCGCCAATTCTTTGTTATTATTACTATTTGGAAATCAAAGTCATTTCTTTAACTATGTTTTCTCGGATCATTTTTAAATTTTTTTAACTATAATCTTGTTCTTCCTTTACTTGTGATAACTGTATAAATTATTATTTTTGGGGTCGAAACTCAAAATACTATAGGAGGATAAATGATAGATGTAGGTGGTTTGAGGGGGTGATGGGTCGTAAACAGATTTGGCCTAATGTGGGTCCCGTGGCTTCCCCATGTTCAGCTCATATGCAACCCTATAAGTAATACCCAGTAGTGATTTATCAAGGAGTTAAATTTATAGTGGACGTGGGTTCTTACATATGTAACCTTACATCATTCCTTTTTTTAAGTGTTTAAAAGCCCCCAACTTGGTTATATTTACCAAAAGCCTATGAGGATTCTGATAGAATAAACTGAAATATCATGGTTACCGGAAGCTCCTCTATTCTCACTTATTAATAGTAGTGTATGTAAAAAACTAGTGGGAAAAAGTTAATATTTGTACTAGTGTTTTAGCATTGGAACTTATTTATTGATTTTATTTTGTTTCGCTTAAGAACTTGACGATTCGTTAAGCATTTTTAGCCTGATGAAAATAAATAACTCTGATGGCTAAAAATATACACAAATTAAACAATGCGTGGATGACCCTTGAAACCTTAATCTATTTATAAAGGCGGAGCGACTGAATTTTATGAGTTGGGGAGTCTAATCATTTTGAGTTTTAAATTAATAGTTTATACATATTCAAATGGATTATTAAGACAAATATAGGGTTTCATACTAAAGCTATTGGGTTCGATCGAATTTGTAACCCGTGTAATAGCTCACAGCTATATGTTGATATACGACATATAAACGTGTTATTTTGAGTGTCCGTATGAATTATTAAAGAACTTGGTTCTTTATCGTATTCCTTAATTGTGAAGTAAAATAAGCAGTAAAGTAAATACAATAATTTTTACGTGAAAAATCACCCGACTCAAAAGGTGCAAAAATCACGACCTACTGTGTAGGATTTTCAATTTCAACTCCACGAGAACAATGAGCCAAAATATATCAATTATAAGATTGTAATTTAATACTCTCCGGTACTCCTACTATGACTATTTGATTTACAAGTTACTCTAATTTGTAAAACAAATACTCACTCCAACTCACTAATTGCTTGTGATACTTTGATTACAACTCAATTTTCTAAAATAAATTCACTAGACTGACTCAAGAAGAACACAACACTGGTACTCGACTAGAGTAAACAAAATGTAGTTTTTCAGTTGATGTGTGAAGGATAATCTCAAAAGTCCAAAATAGATAGTATTTAAACGCTTGGACTTCAAGACCTTCAAGGAGTCATATGCATAGTCATCTTCAATGACTCATGTCTCTTACTGATTTATTCGTATCTTCTTGGGCAACAACCCTTATCATATGTATCAGCCTTTTTTCACCAAACTCGGACCAGAAAAACTTTGAGATAAAGTTACTGTCTTGCACAGACGTACAATCATCAACCAGAGGAGCTGGCCCTTTACCTTGAGGAGTTGGTTCTTAGAACAGTTGAGCAACTACGCTGAGGACCTGGTTCTTCGAACATTGCATCTAAACAAACTTTGTTAATCATCAAAATCTCAATACTCAACAAAACAAATAATTGATGGAAGAGAACACCAAACATATCTTAAATTTCTTATTCCCACTAGGCGACTGATGAATATATACTGACCATTAAAGATATTTGTGTTATTTTGACTGTACACGAATATATGAGTTATACCGAACATTAAGTGAATTATAGATCACTTGAAATCTTGTGGGTAAACATCTCAATGCTTGTGTTTTCAACAAATAGAGCTAGTATGATATCACTTGGATAAGATAGAATTTAGATTTTCCATTTTCTATTTAATTCTTGAGGAAGAAGTTGAAAAAAGAGGTACGAACTCTCTAGTCTCTAATCTCTATATGTAAAATATTCCAAATGACTCTTCTAATAATTCACATTTTAACATTAGATCATTCAGATGCACACTCCAAACATAAAATTGACAATACGTGCCTGAAAAATAATATCCCCTTTCCAAGGGCAGTGGTAGGGAACAGGTATAGGCTACCGCACCCCATATTTCCACTTCATAGCTGCCTTTATATATATGAAAATATTACTCTTGCCCCTTATGTTAAAAGTATTATTTTCAAAAGTTTCCTTCGTCTCGTTATGTACGAAAGTTGTCTCTGCTCTTTTAGAACTCTAAGGCTACAATTCTATTTAAAAGAATATGTGCGATAACACATAAAATTATTTTGAAGCAACGATAAAATTATCTTTGTGTAACATGTAAATTAAATATTCAAATTGTGGAAGCAGCTGTTAATATTGTTTACATCACACCTCTTGAGTTACGGTCCTTTCAAATTCTTACGCGACTGCGAGATACTTTATTCATCAAGCTGGCTTTTTTTGTTTTTATTTATTTTACTGTACCATAACATATGTATAACATATTTTTGATCAGATCTGAGTTATCGTTCTCTTGTTTTTCTTGGTCCTATAAAGCTCATTAACATTCATTTTATTAACTTAATCACGTGACTGTCTACATATAATGATGTTTAACATCTCGAGGCTTATGTACTCTTTAACTATAAAAACTGAAAAAGTGCATCATACTTGTCTCCCGTGAAAGGCCTCTCTAGAAAAGATCCTTAGAACAGTCAAAGATCCAAATTATTAAGTAGGATCTTCCTCTTGGATCCCCTTTCTAATTACTACTAACTCCAATTCATAAGTGATTAATTTATTTTTTTATTTTGGTCCAAAATAAGTATTTATTTATGTAATTAAAAAAAAAATTAATTTGTTTTTACTCTTTTACCCTTATGTGCATATCCCTAAAAAAATTTCTTACTTCTCACATTAAATCCACTATAATTATGTGACCAATATTTAATTAAGGGTAGTTTAGTCATACTAGTTATTTTTGTATAGAATTTAGTATTTTTTTAATGAGCGTGTCTAAAGCAAACTGATCACTTATTGTGGACCGGAAGGAGTACTTAGTAACTCTGTTGAAAAGTATTTCATTTTTTCACTTCAAGTTAAATTAAAGGCATTTTTCAGTTGCAACTGAGGCAAAACTCGCCTAAGAATGTGTTTCTCAAGCATTAGTTTATCTTATGAACTTTTTCTCTAGTCAATGGCAAATTTAACTATGGTTTCACGGTAAAATTTAGCACATTGAGGTCTCTATAACAGCAATAAATTCAGTATAATCTCACAAATGAGTTATACGAATGCTAGTGTGTACGCAAACCTTACTCCTATCTTAAAGGTAGAGAGATAATTTGCAATAGACACCCCGCTCAAGGAAAGATAAAAAGAAAGCAATAGCAACAAACAATAACAATAATAAAATAATAAAAAAACGAGGCGAAAGAAATAACATGTAATAATAAAAATCTAAAACATGTAATGTAGAGTTATATCTATGTTTCAAAACGCATTCAATATGTCGCTATTTAAGAATTTTAAATTAAAATTAATCTTTAGCTAATACCTATCTTGCATTGTTGTATGAGAGTATGGACAAAATATTTCAACAAATTAGTTGCATTCACATCAATTTTAATCTACAACCATAACTCAACTCAATATAATTTGACCAATAGATCTTGTTATGAATTTAAAAGAGACCTCTTATCAACTCATGAGTACGCCAACATAAATCTCATAAAATCAAAAGTTTGTGTCATGCTTCATATGCTACCATCTTTCAATGTGTGAAATAACTTAATTGCATTAAATATGAAGAAGGCTTGTACTATTGGGAGTTGAATAAATAAAATCATGAAAAGTTGCAAAAATAGCCAATAGGCATTAATTAGGGTTTGCAAATACCAACGGCCATTGAACCCCAAAGGCGCGATTCCTTATTATCCCACCTTTGCTCTCCCATTTTCCTCTCCC